AAATTTGACGACACTCTGTAATCTCGGCAAATTGCCAATATGGTCTTTTTTGAAGCAACTCAATTTCCGATGTGGCTTGTGCAAGTTCATTAGGCTTAGACCATGATCGTTCCCAAATATCGACTTCTTGTATTAAGTTGATTTCTTTCAATTCTTGCGAAACCTAAATACCCGACTTTCGACACTTTAAGTAATGTTTAGTTGTTCTTATCGAATGTGTGTGTAATGAATTTAACCCCCCGGCAGTCCCTCACGCAGTTACTTGGCTACGATCCAATTCAATCGTGGCTTTGATTTGGTCATCACCAAATTCAAGTAGGTCGACCAGTGTTGGTTAAAATCGGGTAAGAAAATTTCAAGACAAGAATTTTTAAACCAATCTCAATGCCTCAGTTCTGTCGAATAGTCAGCACTACAAATCCCTTTTTGTGGGCCCTAGTAGCTTTCTTTTCTTTATGACGGTGAAAGTAAAATATGCCCAAACTACCCGTTTTTGAACTACACAGAAAATCGCAGCAGAAAGTAGAACTACGTACATCAAAACGAAAATAATGTCTTCGATTTTTTTTAAAGTAAAGAACCGATACGAATTTCGTGACACGTTGAATCTGACGGATCTCTTTCAACGTCTTCACAGCTGCCAACTAGGCGTCCCCAATCCTCCTTTCCACTCTGAAATTCAAGCTGAACTGTTTTCGGCAAAACACTTGAATACTAGATTTTACGTCCAAAAGAACATTAGAACGCTCAGAGAGCCAGACTGCAATGAGTACGGGGAGTCATACCTCTTTCCATTGATACTGTGAGATGAGTCCGAGGAGACGGCAGGCACCAACACCAAATCTGCGTCTCAAGCAGGGATTGCTGATGAGTGTTCCAAGAAGTTCGAAAAGGCTCTCATCCACCAACCACTCAAAAATTGGATTATCAGTCACATTGTCCATTAGCTAATTTGTTTGAAAAACATTTCTAATTAATGTTGAAATCTTTATTCCCAACGTAATCTGCACAGATTTTTGGACTATTTATAAGGTGTGACTTGGTTAGTAGCGTACTAAGATGCGGAAAAACATCTTGAATTCGTGATATCCGATTCTAATCTCTATACAAGCAGGTGTCATGTTTCCCGCAAACTAACATTCCGGTTAAAAAAAGACTACATGAAGCCACCTGTCCGATCTCAATATAGACATTGTGACTTTCCAATACAATAAAAACCTGGTTTCGGTTGATGCCATACATCTGAACCTAGAAAGGAACTTTAGACATTGACTGGAGGACCTGCAAGTTGATAAATTCCCATAACTGTGGCTGTTGCCGTATTTGTGACATAAATAGTAGGAATAACAACCCACACTGCCTTATTCTTATGGTTAATCGCATTTCTAGCTTAGATACTTGCATAGTCGTCGTCGCGAATTGAAACAAAAAGTACAGACGTACTGATTCTGGAGCCTAATTTCAAAGATACCTTCAAATCACGATAAGTAACAACAGAAAACGAATTGATGAAGTAAATACAGGTGGTGTAAAGTATCTGCACCAAAACGAGGCATTCAAAAGCACTCACCACACAGTGAATAGTTAACGAATTAATTACAAGTTCCTGAAGAAGCGGTGGCCAGTCATTAATGAAACTGGCTGAATACAGTTCTGTGTAATCCTACAAAGGTAAGAACAGTTTCAAGCACCATTTACCCGTCAGCAAAGTGACAACGCTTGGCAGTATAACTGCATTTATTCCTCAACATAATTTGTTAGCAATAAAGGAAAACTTATTAAAACCCGATTCTACGGGAAATGTGTGTGCCAATACTAATACTGCCTATACACAAATGGAAACGCGAGCTAGAATAAATAAAGAAACGGTTTAACAATATTTTAACATTGCTAAAATAACCAATTTTTAGGCTGCAACCAAGTGGATTAAACTGGCGTCTATTAAGAACATGGATTTTGCGCTTGAAGACCTGTACAAAATGTTTAAGAAGCAACATAATTTGAACGGAGGAATGTGAAACAGCTTAAAAGGTACGTAGAATAATGCTTAAGACGAATATCAACCTACAGCATTCGCGGAGGGTGAATATTCGTTAGATATCAAAAGCTGCAGTCTATCTTCTGGTGGAAGGGTAACATTTTTGGCTTGAAATGAGCCCAGCATGAGGCAGTCTGCGGTCTGCAGGGCGTTAGCTACGCGCTGCCAGTGATTGGTTTTGAAAGAATTTGAGATACACTCCTCATAGAGTCGGTTAAGATGGGGCTAAAACGTTATTAACCACAAATAAGATGGGTCATTCCATCCACCCAAATTAGAAGTAGACACATTGCGTTACAATATTTAGCATTTGGTTCATTTTGTATGTACCAATAGAAAGAACCGGTTACATAAGGACATAAACTGCTGGATGTCCGCAAGACAACACATAACCTGGAGTGTTTTATGCCTGGTACAGTTTCATGTGTAATTAAGGCTAAGTGAGAGGTGTATTCTATATCAGTCATCAGTCATCACATGTAAATATGAACTTGTGTATATAGTGTTTTGCCTAAATTAAGATACATTGAGATCAGAACCTTATTAGCCATTTACAAATAAAGAGGCTGGATAGCAATTAAGAAACAAGGGTTGCAGCGTCCAATTCCCAATCTAAACAGAACATGAGACTATGTGTAAGTCACAAACATACCTTCAAGTTCACAATAGAATCGTGTGACAATTTGTCAAAGTAGGAAAGAAGGGCTTTGATATTGACTCTAAGTAAAAAGAATTCATCCCAGAATCCAGCCCTTCCAGATGTGATATCTTGTCCCTATAAAGGTAATATGCATAGCATGGACATACCGCAAACAACTTCTCATAAATCTGGACAACCTTTTCCCTTGGCACCGGTTTTTGCATTCGCTGGTATCTCAAGCCTGTATAAATATAATAAGAGTATTCACGGGCTTAAATATTGAGAACAAGCGTTAAGTGTCACGTAAATCAACGCAGGGCATCCTAAATAAAGGCATACAGTAGGAAAACGTAGTAGTTAGGAAGATAATTCTCAAATAAAACAGACTACAAATAACCACTGAACAATACAAATCCTGTAAAATATTACAGCCAGAATACCTAATAGCAAAGACCTATCTAAAATGATGTTCATGTCTTTTATCAGCATCGTAAAAACATGTCAGAATAAAAAGGCGACCGACCTCGGGTATTACACAGGTGTGGTGAAATGTGCTGTAGTGTGGTGTGGTGTGGTGTAGCGGAATGGCAGGCGGCAGCCATATTGGTGACGGTGGTGAGCGCGGCGCGGAGGCAACGTCACGTGACCGGTGGTGCGACTTCCGGCTGCGTGGTGGCGTGCGGGCATTGAATGACGCGCCGGAGGCTGAGAGCCA